AGAGAAAGAGGGAGAGGGTGCAGGGGAGAGGGGCAGAAGGAGAGAAAGAGAGAATCCCAAACAGGCTCCGTGCTGATAGCACAATCTCACCAACCACGAGATCATGACCTGAACCGAAATCAAGAGTTGGACGTTCAACTGACTGAGCCAACCAGGCACCCCAAGAATTCTTATTTCCCTAGTGTAAGGGTTGAATTTGTCCTCCAGAAAGGTATGTCAAAGTTCTAGCTCCCCAGTACCGGTAAATGTGACCTTGTTTGGGTGTAGAGTCATTGCATATATAATCAGTTAACTTGAGGGCATCCTGGAGTAGAGTGTGCCCTTATCCAATAAGACTGGTGTCCCAAAAAGAGGGAAAATTGTAACTCTGTGTAGTGATGGATGTTAACTAAACTTATTGTGGTCATCATTTTGATATATATATATATATATATATATATATATATACACACATATATATATAATCATTTTGCTATATATATATCCAATCATTATCTTGTACAACTAAAACTAATACAATGTCATGTGTCAATTCTATCTCAATACAAAAAAGTAGAGGGCGGGATTTGGACAGAGACACTTCCTTCCTTCAGGAAGGAAGAAACACTATGAGGGGTGCTCGGGTGGCTCAGTCGGCTAAGCATCTGACTTCGGCTTACATCATGATCCCACAGTTTGTGAGTTCGAGCCCTGCATTGGGTTCCCTGCTGTTAGCATGGAGCCCACTTTGGGTCCTCTGTTCCCCCCACTCTCTCAAAAATAAACATTAAAAAAGAAAGGAAGAAAGAAATATCATGTGAAGACAGACACAGGGTATAAGCCAAAGAAAGCTAAGGATCACTGGCTGCCATCAGAAGCCAGGAAGAGGTAAGGAAGGATTTTACTTAGAGTTTCAGAGGAAGCATGGTCCTGCCAACATCCTGATTGCAGACTTCAGCCTCCAGAACTGTGGGACAAGAAGTGTCTACTGTTTTAACCACCCTGTTTGCAGTACCCTGTTAAGCCTGCCTTAGCAAACTGATACACCTTCTTCTTGTTAGACATAGCACAATAATAAAAAAGAATGGGGATGGTTAATACTTTTCTTCATTTATTCAGCAAATATTTATCAAACATCTGCTATTTGTAAGTTGGAATTAGGGAGGTATCAAGGTAAGAAATAAACAGCCCTCCCACAGGGAATTTATACATTAATAGTTTATGGGGTATGTTTTCAGATAGTGGAAGTACAGAACTTGATTCTTGCCATAAAATGGATTCAAAATTCTACAAGGACCTATAGGAAGATGGAATTACTCTCAGCAACAAGAATGAAAGCAAATTTCCTAAAAAAGGTGGTATTTGAGTATTCCAAGATGGGAGAGTGAAATTTTCACAGGTGAATATGGAGAGAAAAGGTACGCCTGGCCCATGGCAAAGCTTGAACAAAGGCTCAGGTGCAGCAAGTATCCAGGATTTGAGATTAGTTAAGAAGCTCAAGTTGGGGGCGTCGTATATAAGCGATGCATCATGGTAATCTATTCCTGAAGCCAAGAGCACACTGTGTACACTGTATTTTAGCTAACTTGACAATAAATTATATTTTTTAAAAAAGCTCAAGTTGGCTAAAGTGTAAGAAGCATGACAGGGAGAAGGAAAGAGAAGACTAGACGGGAGGTTAAAGACAAACTGGAGGCTGTGAATGGCATTCTAAGGAATATGGAGTGAATTAATCTGTAGGTCACAGAGACCCACTCAAAACTTCTGATCTGATAAAGTTTGAGAGGACTTAATTATGTATGCAACATTACGCTTTGATATGCTACATGAAAAAGAGCTTCAACATCAACACTCTATTGCTAATCAAAGAAATCAACTGAGATGATCTCCAATCCCAAAAATAAAGTAAAATTTAAATTCACCCTGCAGATTTGATGGAAGCAGTCTAGTTCACCTTCTGCCTTAACAAGCCTGTCTTGCCCAATACGGAGAAAGTCTACATATTTTTGGTTTTCAAAAACACTTGTACTATTGATTTCTAAATATGACATGCAAGCAAAAAAGAATTCACATCTTAAAATGGATGTGGAGTACCAAGCCTACCTATAACGTTTTGTATAACATTTAGTACCAATGTTAAACTCAACAGAGGTTTTTTTTTTTTTCCCAACGAGAAGCAGATTACTGTAAACATCACAACATAGTAATTCCACAAAGAAGAGAAAAATCATATTAAGGAAATATGGTGCTGCCGCCACCCTGTGTTTTCCCCTTATCGATGCTAAACATGAGCACACACAAAAATTTATCACACCAATGTTCTCAGTTCCATCCATATAAATGGTATTAATGCCAACACTTGATCACTAGCCTGGTGATTTGTTTGCAGACCAGGTTTTCCCTGTACACCTGGCACTTAGCATAGGAATGGAAAAATATCAAAGAAAGAAAAGTTTTTTTAAAACATTCATGAACAGATTTGTTCATATTGTCATTTTAGTTATACTACTATTGGGGCACCTCGGTGGCTCAGTCAATTAAGTGTCAGACTCTTTCACTCAGGGCATGATCTCACCGTTCATGGGATGCAGCCCCGTGTTGGGCTTTGCAGAGCCTGCTTGGCATTCTCTCTTTCCCTCTCTCTCTCTTCCCACACCTGCTCGCTTGCTTTCTCTCTCCAAATAAATAAATATCCAAATATATATCTATCTATGTTATATCTATATATATAGATATATCTATATTTTACATAGGATAGATATATCTTATATCTTATATATTATATCTATATATATAGATGTATATAGATAGATAGATATTTGGATATTTGGATATTTTTGGATCTATATCTATATCTATATATAGATATATTTGGATATTTGGATATATATTGGATATTTGGATATTTATGTTATTATATATATTTATAAATATAATTTATATATTTACATATTATATATTACATTTGTATATATATATATATATATATACATATGCTACGACTACTACTGAAAGCACAGCAAAAATCATCTCTGAGCTGTGACCCATAACCAGTTGGTGTCTACATTGTTAGAGCATATAATGATATCTACTTTGAAAGCACCATTTCAACATGAACTGGGTCAGAAAGGAACTATGTTTCTCCATTCAACACCTATCTATTGAGTGCTTCCTATCTGCCGGGCACTAGGTGCTGAGAGTGTCATTCGGTGGGGAGAATGACAAAGAAAAAGGACAAGAGAGCTGCAGTGATAAAAGAGGCCAGAGTGGAAATGGAGACTTGTGGAAGTAGAGGTGAAGGAAACCCGGCTGAGATCAAGTGAGAAGGAAACAAAAGAAGGGAGGAAATGAGAGGCGATAAGGCAGGGGAAGGGAGACTGGGAAATAAATTGTTTATGGTATTGGTATCTAGGCTTATGTACAGAAAATGAAGAATGAAATGAACTAAGATGACTAGTGAGGGAGAAAAGGAAGGTACGCTGAAAAGTAAATAAAGGAGAAACTAAAGAAGAGCTGGAAGGAATGGAAGGAAGGGATGGGAAGGAAAGCGACATGAATGAGTGTGGGTAGTGGGGTGAGTAAGGTGACCATCACAGTATGGATGTGAGAAGGACCTGAGAGTGAGGAAGAGGAGGGTGGGAAAGGGATTGTGTGATAAGGGAAGGAGGGAGCTTTTCCCACAGGAAGGGAGACTAGATATGGAGGAGATGGAATGGTGAGGGATGTGAGGATATACGGGAAGGAACTGGAATAGGATTGGGGGCAGGATGGTGATGAGAGAAGTGGAGACCAGTCTGGTTCCCTGGACATACAACCTGTGAGAGAGCACAGGGCCCCTTGCTCAGATAAGCCCCATCCTTGGTTTAATGCTCTGCGGTCTCATTTTGAAATTCTTAGTAATTTGTTAACAAAGGGCTCTGCATCTTCATTGAGCCCCACAAACTATATGGCTGACTCTGGCTGGGACTGAACCTGTGACGGGTGAGATGAAGGAGGACTCTGCTGGAGAGATAGAGGAATGGGCTATAGCCATGGTGAATGGGGACTGTGGCTGACAAGTGATAACAGGGACATGAGTTGTCCAAATTACAAATGAAGGTGCTAATGGATAAAGGATCAATAAAGAGCTGCAGAAATGACCTGTCATCAGTGAGGCTGAAGACGGGATGTACTACAAAGTGGGCTACAAGATTTTAACACAGTGGTCAATGACAACACAGGGCATTGGTCAGGGGTGAAGAGTTTAATGAAGATGCGTCACAGCAAGTGATCAGATGATAGGGAATCATGGTGTGACAGGTGGACAAGGGTCAGTGAATAGGGATGAAAATGGGTATCTATGAAGCCTTCCTCCAGGTCCCACCAGACAGTGAGTCATCAATATTCCTACGTACCTCTCCTGGGGTATCAGCTTATGGCTCAAAATCTAGGGGTGGGTGCTCAAAATCTGGGAAATCATGAATTTCATACTATGTTGAACACAGCGCCAATTTTAAGAGTGGGGCTGGGGTGTTGACACCCAGGTGAAGGAGGTAAAGACAGAGGGGTGGGGTGAGGCTGCGGGTTCGCGGATAGGATGTTGATGGGGCAATGTCGGAATCAGCGGATGTGACAAGAGAGAAGTCGACAGAAGAGGGACGATGGGGAGGGGTCAAGCGAGAGACGACAGGGAGAGGGGCACTGACTCCTGACCTCGGCCATCCTGACGCTCTCTGGGGGTGGCCTCAGAGGTTGCTGTAGTGATCGCGAAAACTGGGCCGGAGTCTGAAGGGCCTTGCACTACTTCTGGCGCCACGTTATTGGTATCCGCCGCACGGGGCCGAAACCCGGCGCTCGGCGCGTCCTCGCGTTGCCAAGCAACCGCCACGCCCTCTGAGGAAACTAGAGGACTTCCGAAAGGGGAGGAGCCTCTGGGAAGGGCACTGGGGAGGCGTCCTTAAAGGCATATGCAAATTAGCCTGTGAGGGGCCGGGCCTATGAGAAGCTGGGCGGAGTCCCAAGGTGCACTAGGAAGTTGGAAAACTCCCTGGAGCGAGGATAAGAGACTCCGTGACAAAGAGACTTGGTCGTGGGGACAAGAAATAATCTTCATTCGAGTCAACTCAACCCTAATGAAGCAGCTACTACTGTGTGCCAGAGACGGAGGGGAAAGTAATATGGAAAAAAGAGACCCCGCTTTCAAAGGATTTAGTCACCATCGGTAAGAAACATAGGGTGCAGAGCTCGAAATACCCTGGGAAAACGTATGTGGAGCCACATCGTGGAGAGTTGCCTTTTTCATCTAGGGCTCCTCTCTCAACCTCTCCACCTCCTCCTCCACCTCTTTAACCTTCATGTACAGAGGATAAACAACTTGGTTCATGAAACGTGTAAAACCCCTCTTGGGATTTTTTCCCCTTTAACCCCATCCTTATTCCCACCCCTCCTCAGCCTCATAAACATTCATGCTACTGTGCTTGAATATGTATTTTTGAAAAGTGTATACATTTTTATTAGTGTACTTTTTTAAAATGTTTAATAATGATTTTGGACTTTAGGATCATCTTATTTTCTTCTTTCTTCCTCGGTATTCTTTTTAATGGATCTATTCTTTTGTAGTTCATATTGTAATCCTAGTTCATCGCTTCTGATTGCTGCATAGTATTCCATATTGGACAGCCACACATGTGACTTTCATTCCCCAAATGGAGGCTACCTTCACCTCTCCAATACCACAAACAATGCAGCTATAATCATCCTTGCCCATGGTCTCTTGTGGACCTATGTGCAATTCCTTGGCAACATATGCCTAAGAATGAGATTGGTAAAGTTATAATGTATGCACAGGGCCATCACATTTGGTTATGCAGCTTGTCCTGTACAAAGATATCCAGCCATGGGCCAGTGGGAGCTGGAAAACAGCTTTCCTATGTCATGTGCCCTGCTGAAGGAAGATGTGCCTTTTTCTTCCCCCAAAAGCTCTGTTCCCTAGTCAAGTCATGAATCTGGGAGGCTATAACTATCCAGGGGGTATGCCTCTTTCAAATTCATTTGCCCAGTGGTGGACACTATTTTCCAATGGCACAGAGGTGGTCAGTAGCCTGGTAGAAGCCCTGGGTACTTAACTTCAAGTACTGCTAAATGGCACACAAGAATTGTTGCTCTGCACTATGCTCCAGTGCAGTGTAAGGGTTTCTGTCCCCTACTCCCATCCTTACCAGCACATTGTAGTTTGTTTATTCATAAACACTCACATAGTGTTTACCAAGTGTCAAATACTATTCTAAGTGCCTTACAAATACTGACTCATCTAATTAGCCAATTTTCTAAATTCCGTCAATTATCATGGAAGTAGTGTCAACATATTTTTGTTTTACTCTGGGTCTCTCTCTTAGTGAAACTGAACATGTCTTCATACATCTATAAGCCGCTTGGGATCCCCTTCTGTGAATTGTCTATAAGCCTTTGCCTATATTTCAGTTGCTCTTTTTCTTTTTCATTTGATTTGCAAGAGGTCTTTGTAAAGTCTGGACATTAATCTGCTTTCAAAGACTGAAAACTTTGCTTGTAATGTCCTTTGTAAAGCAATCACCTTTCATTTTGTAAGCCTCCATCGTGTGTGTGTGTGTGTGTGTGTGTGTTTGTTTTACTTTTTACATGCTTTTTCAGTATGATTTAAGAAGTCCTTCTTAACTCCAAGGTCATAAAGGCATTCTCTATCATTTTCTTCCATTAGTTTCATAGTTTTACTTTTTAACATTCAGCTATTGAGTCCATCCTACTTTCGCATATGGTATGAGGTAAGGATCCGATTTCTTTTTTTTCTCAAAGAGTGAGCCCATTTTCAACATCTTGGTTCCCAAATATAGATGGTTCTGTGCTGAGCTCTGTGGTTTGCTCCTATGCCAGTACCAGAAGGTTTTATTATGATCGTTTTTAGCCAGACATCATGATTGAGGGCAAGTCCCCCATTCCTACTTCTGTCAAAACTTCACTGGCTAGTCATGAACTTCCATTCATATAATTTTCAGGATGTTTTCAAGTTCCTCATGAGAAATCTTTTTTTTTAACGTTTTATTTATTTTTGAGAGACCATGTGAGTAGGGGAGAAGAGAGGGAGACACTGAATCTCCCTCTGAATCACTGAATCTGAAGCAGGCTCCAGGCTCTGAGCTGTCAGCACAGAGCCGGATGCAGGGCTCGATCTCTCGAACCGCGAGATCATGATCTGAGCCAAAGTCGGATGCTTAACCAACTGAGCCACCCAGGTACCCCCCTCATGAGAAATCTTAACTGGAACATTAATGAATTTATGATTTAACTTGGGGAAAATTCACATTTGTGCAACTGTATATCATTCATGAACAGTGACTATAAATCTGGTAGACAAAAAAGGACATGTTATGGCGGAGGCATAATACGCACGGAGCTGACAGGAGAGACAGCAGATCACACAGGAGAGACTGGATCACACTCGGGGACTAACAGGTTGTGGTACCATCGTGATCCAGAGAGACTCCATAACATTCCTGAAGATACATAACAGAGAAAGACCTAGAGGCCCCTGGCCACACATATCTTGTATTGGCATCAGTTGTAGTGCCAGATGTCTTCCCATTTCCCAAGAATCTTCTGAAGGATTATTTCACAAGCAGATGGCCTGCCAAGGTGACAGAATTTCAATCCAGAAAACAATTTTTTAAAGCATCTGCTACACTGTAGGTAAAAGGCTGGCCACAGGAACCACAGAGCTAACTATGGCAGTCACTGCCCTTTGCATTCACAATCTGGCTTTGGGGGAAAGAGAGAAAAGACAACTTGCAACTAATTCTAACACAATATGATGGTATAGTTTAGAACATGCCATGTCAACAGTGAGCACTATGGGTGCTAGATCAGTCTAGACACTAATAACCTGAGAGCGTTACTTACAATATGAGGACAAAAATGCCAGAACAAAGGAAATCAGGGAACCACAGGAGGCAGGCAGGAACATGACATGTTCAACTCACAGGAAAGAGATGCAGGTGGACATCAACTTGGATGGAGTAATGGATGAGGGGATGGGTGGTTGGACAAATTAATGTACGCTGATGGAAAAAAGTGCTTCCTTTCCAATTTTCCAGATTCCTGAAGACCCTGTTCCCCTTTGTTGTAATAAAAAGGAGCACTAGGTGGCATCATACTACCAAAAGTTCTCACCTCTTAAAGCCTCCAGGAGAAGCTCATCCACCAAGATTGGGTCATCCCCTAATTTAGACAAGTAGGAGTGCTTCTATCAATTTCATTTCACACTATATCCACTTAGTTTATTTACTAAGCATCTACTACGTGCCCAGCCTTGTGCTGCGTACTGTGGAGAATATAAAAGGAGTTGAAGAGAGGATCTCCTGCTAAGGGAGCAGGAGAAACAAAACATATGGCAGCCCCTTCCCCCCACAAAAAATTTGTAAAACACTCGAAGGCAGGATGTGATAAGCACTGAAATGAGGATGTCGGAATGTAATATCCAGTGTTATCTGGTCCCTTTCCCCTTCTAGTGCCTTATCCCACTCTTGCCCCAATGGCTTCTTTCAATTCCTTGTATGTCAGGTTCTTTCCCACTGCTTGGAGTTCACAGAGGCTGATCTTTTTTTCTTTTTTAAATTTTTTTACATTTTTTATTTATTTTTGAGAGACAGAGTAAGACAGAATGTGAGCGGGGGAGGGGCAGAGAGAGAAGGAGACACAGAATCTAAAACAGGCTCCAGGCTCTGAGCTGTCAGCACAGAGCCTGATGTAGGGCTCAAACCCACTAATCGTGAGATAATGACCTGAGCCAAAGCCAGACTCTTAACCGACTGAGCCACTCAGGCACCCCAGAGGCTCATCTTTCCGTCTGGAATACTTAATCATCCCTTTTCACCTGGCTAACTTCCATCCACCCCTACTGCAGATTTCACTTCCTTGGGAGATCTTTCCTGACTGTTCTTCAACATCAGATTACCTTTACAAGTACTATATTTCGCTTCTTGGACCCACTCAGAATGATAGTCATGTGATTAACTGGACCATTAATGGAAATGGTTACCTAAGCTGTCTTCTCTAGCAGTCTATCAAACAAGACAAGGATCATGTATATCTTGCTCAGCTCTGTCTCCATTGGTATTGTAGGCTGAACTGTGCCCCCCTAAAACTCCTATGTTGAAGCCCTAACTCTCACTCCCTCAGAATATCACTGTCTGGAGATGAGGCCTTTAAAAAGATGACTGGCCTTAAAATAAGGCCATTAGGGTGGGCCTAATACAGTCTGAATTGTGTCCTTATAAGAAGAGGACATTTGGACACAGAGACACCAGGGATGCATGTACACAGAGGAAAGCCATAGTGAAAAGAAGGCCATCTGCAAGCCAAGCAGGGAGGCCACAGGAGAAACCAAACCCACCAACATCTTGATCTTGGTCTCCTAGCCTCCAGAACAGTGAGCAAATAAATTTCTGTCATATAAGCCACCCTAGTCAGTGGTACTTTATGATAGCAGACCAAAAAACTAACATAAACGGCCATCACTCCTCTCACTTTACAACTATTAAGTGTCTATTGAATGAACTCTAAAATAAGGAAGAACAGTGAAAGATAGCATATTAGGAAAAGGGCCATGGTAGATATGGCCCTTGGCCTTAAATGATACAGATAGATTAGAGACACGTAGCAGAAAATAGAAGGAATCCCAAGTATGGGAAGTAGCATTGGGCACATATCAAGGCAAGAATGCAAAAGTCCTGTAATAGGGAGGGTGAGGTCCCTCTGAGGGGCCAGTAGATACTAACGTTGATAAGAGGGTATGGGTGAATGGTGGAAGTTTGGAAGAATAACAGAGACATGGCTGCAAACCCAAAGACCAGGGACAGCCAAGAACACACCCATTCACTCTGCCAGGTAACTTGAATATATGATCATGAACTGTAATACCTCCGCAAAGCTCTTTGTTAAAACCTGGATATAAGTGCCTCCCATGGCACCCTGCTAGGATTTCTAAGCTGTGTGTTATGACTCATAGTAACAACAGCTTTCTGTACAGAGTGCTCACTTCTTTAGTAGCACCCAGTGAGGATACATAGCAAAAACCAGAAAAGCAGAAACACTGAGATGTGGCTCTGCATGGAAAATCCCAGCCTGCAATGCAAACTGACTGTGCCCTAAAGGAAACCTGCTCCAGCAAGGGATCAGAGAGGTCCTGGGGGCAATATGGGGGGAGTCCACACAGCCCACAACTCCCTTCTCTGAGACTAGTAACTCCCACCAGGAAGTATGCTCCTTCTAGAAGCCAAAACGTTGTAGACAGCCCTATCTGACTCCCTAGGGCCACAGCTGAAGGGTCAGGTAGAGACCTGTCCCACCTGAGGTCAATCCCATTATTTTTCCTGCGGATTTATAAATGGGGTCAAAAGTTGCAAACCAGTCATTGCTGGGTCCTGCGACTGAGTATGTGAAGCCCAGAAGGAGCAAAGAAAGGTAAGCTCAACAGAGGGAAGAACAAAGCAAATGAACACGGGAGAGAATCCACAGGCCCAAGAGAAGGGAGAGCTGGGGCACAGAGCCTCCTCAGTTGTTGATGCCTCTTCAGAGCCTGGTAACGGTCCCTGGGGAGGCCTGGGAACACCCACACTCTTGAGTTCTGCTAGATACCACTTCCCAAAAATTCACCTCGTGTGTTTAAGCTAGACAGAGTTAGTTTCCATTGCTTATACCTCCCCCCCCGCAAAGCCCTGATCAACACAAATCCGGTTTATGCAGGGGTTCTTGTGATGTCGCTTGAATTTAGTATCCAAACAGCATTTGGGGCCCCAAACAACATGGTAAAAACTGCCCATCATCATATCTAACATTTCTCCTCATGGCTGTTGGGAAGATTAAACGCCCACGTGTTACAGAAAATTGTTGGCATTTATCAGTCGACCCCCTGCTCACCTTAGATGACAGAACAGAGTCCCAGCTGGCTGGCACTCTCCAAAACTGTGTGCACCATATTTTATCCCTTTAATCTGCTCCTTTTCCAGCCTGCTACAGACTGAACTTAACAGAACATTTGTTGAGCATTTGACATCGGTTCCCGAAGGATCTCCATACAAATTCCGCTCTTGATACCAAAGGAGACTACATGCTTGGGAAGATTTATCAGGAAGACTGAGAGATTGGCCATGAAGTGGAAGCAGTGGGCGATCTGCCATTGCAGGCGATAATTTTTACCAGAAGAGGATGGCAGTGTCATAACCATGCAGTCATCCAACCTGCCTTGCATTTTATTGGCTTAGCAGCAACTGGGCTTCTACCAGTCAGATTACTTTTGGGTGTGACTGGTTCATTCATTCAGCTGGTGCTCTTGCCGGAGAGAGACCAGGCCAAGACTGCAGTTTGATGTCCTTGCTAGAACCGAGGAGGACTTACACAAAGTAACCAGCTAACCAGATTAAAGACTGAGTAGCTCCACACAACCTGTTCCCACTACAAATGAATGAATAAACTGAATAAATAATGAGTGAATAAGAAAATAATTATTTTAAAACATCAAAGCACAAATCCCTGTCTTATTTCTGCTCTTTCCTGAAAACGCCATATTTTCAAACATCTCTAGACTTTCCATATCCTGATCCTGTGTAAGGAATATCCTGTCTCCTTCTTTATCCAGTTAGCCTGTTCTTTTATTTTTTCTAACTTTAATTTTTGTTATGTTTTATTTATTTTTGAGAGAGAGATAAGAGTATGAGTGAGGGAAGGGCAGAGAGAGAGGGAGACACAGAACCTGAAGTAGGCTCCAGGCTCTGAGCTGTGAGCACAGAGCCCAACGCAGGGCTTGAACCCATGAACCACGAGATCATGACCTGAGCCAAAGTCGGACGCTTAACCAACTGAGCCATCCAGGCACCCCTTTAATATTTATTTTTGAGAGAAAGAGAAAGAGAGCACAAGCCAGGGAGAGGAAGAGAGAGGGAGACAGAGAATCTGAAGCAGGTTCTGCACTGACAGTACAAAGCCCTACGTGGAGCTTGAGTCCACCAACCATGACATCATGACCTGAGCCAAAGATGGACGCTCAACTGACTGAGCTACCCTGAGGTCCCAGTTAGCCTTTTTAAAATTCAGCTCAGTGTCACCTTCTCCAGGAAGTCTTCCCTAGTTAGGTACTCTTCCTCTGTGTTGCTAGAAAACCTGTGTGTCATTCTGTCAATACACAATATTGTATGCATGTGTTTATTTCTGTCTTTCCCACCAGACTAGAAGGACCAGTCTTTTCTTTAAATATATCTATGGTGCTGACCCATAAGAGACAGTCAAAATAGAAAGTTTGATGAAGGAAGGAAGAAAGGAAAAATAGGATTAGCTTATCCACTCGGGCACAGAGCAATTACTCTTGGGAATAACTAGTGACTAAGTGAAGTTAAAAGCTATTGGAATACAAACATTTGCAATTCTAAGGTAGTTAACCAAAATCATCTTCAGGTATCCACCAGGTCCCCGAACAGAAGTATTAAGGATAACAATAAAATACATTTATCTCCTTTCTCTCCCTATCCTTGGCCAAGGTTTGAACCAAATCTTTTTTTCTTCTCCACAGGGCCAGATGCACAGTAGGTACTCAATGAAAGTTGACGACTAGCTTCTCCTAGCAGCAGATAGGCATCTATAAAATGAAACTATTTGTTATGTTACAGGAATAAACTCTCCTTTCTACCCTGTGGGTATGTTTCTTTCTTTCCAATATCTGCTTCCAGATCTACTGAATAATTTCAGCACCGGAAACTGACTACAGAGAATCTACTGTGAACAGGTGTTCTCAGAAGCAACCATGGGAGGGAGGCAAAAAGCCCCGAACCCCTCCCCCTGCCCCCCAAGGCGACTGAAACCCAGCTGAAGTCAAGCAGGACAATTCAAACCTCCAGGACTGCGGAGACCAGTCGAAAATGACATTGTGTTTTAGAATCTAGCACCAGAGTCTGTGCACATTCTCTGTAAAGGACCAGATTAAGAAATATTTTGGGCTTCATAGTCCACATGGTCTCTGTATTCAACTGCACTTTTATAGTGCAGAAGCAGCCACAGACAATACAGAACTGAATGGGCATGGTTTTGATCCATTAAGACTTTATTTACAGAAACAGGTGGCACTCTGGAGTTGGCTTGCCAGCCATTATTGCCAAGGCCTGATTTAGCACAATGCCTGGCATACAGTACGTGCTCAAATATTTATTGAATGAATGGATGGATAAATGAATGAAAGAAGGCAGGTTTTCCTAAGGTTATACAGCCTGGTGATTTGTTTTAAAGCCCCAGTGCACCACCATCTTTAGACATTAACTACAGGGAGCTCAATGAATACCTACTGACCAGAAATAAGTCTGATAGAAATTATCTGACAGTTTTCCCCATGCCAAGTGCTGCATGTGGTTGGAAATTTAACATGTATAAACCACCATCAGCTTTCATGACGTGGGGCCCCTGGCTGGCTCAGTCGGTGGAGCATGCAACTCTTGGTCTCAGGGTTGTGAGTTCAAGCCCCACATTGGGTGCAGAGATTACTTAAGAATAAAAATCTTTTTTAAAAAAGAAAGAAAGAAGCATTTCTTTCCTTACTGTGGATCATGACTCATTAGTAGTTTGTGGCCTGCATTTTCATCTTCAAAAAAGGGTAAGAGATGGGTAGAGAAAGAAGAGGGAATATACCAGAGTTTGTCACATGTCATAAGCATATTGTTTTTAAGGAATTTGCCTTTCAATTATAACAATTCAATCTGGTGAATATGTTGGGTTCTGAGGTAAAATGTATTTTCAAAAAAGTTTGAAAAACATTTTAAATAGCATTGTAATCTCATTCGTGGGGAAATTCAGTACGGTTGTGATGAGGGAGCATAAGGCAAGCTGAGGGCAAAGTACAGGCTAACAGCACCTCCCCACCCCCACCCCCGCAGGTGGGACATGTGTGATATTCCTCCCATTCTCCTGGCTGCCCGAGAACAAGGAAAAGGAAAGAAAGCAGATGGTTGACTGACAGAGATCATAGTCATACAGGACAGGAGTCTCCTTTAGTTTAGTTAGTAAACTTAGAAAACTGTAAGATAACTTAGTAAACTGAAAGAAAAAGGCTATCCTATCCATAGCCTAATCTCCAGAAACATACAGACTTGTTTCCTGGAACCCTAATATCACCCTCATCAAGATGTAAGGGGGGTTAAGTGCTGGCCATGGTGACATGGGAAACTGAGGCAAATGGAAAATTAAATTCCCTTACTGCCTATAGCCCATTGACAAGTCCTTGAAACAGGCAGAGTTAACTTCCTCTCGGATCTCAGCTGCCTCGATGATAACCCATTGTTGGGGGCAAAAGGGAATCTTGGCTTAACATTATCCTGACCGCCCCCCTCCCCCCAGGATCCTGTAAATCTACTTTAACATATAAAACTTCCTTTGGAAACTTCCTTTATCTCAACTTTCCCAAGATATATGCTAGCAATCATACTTCAAGCTTATGGCCCCCTGATGAACATCTGAAGGGTCTCATGGCTGAGATTTTAAATGACATTTTCCTAACAACAGCTAGTCCCTCAAGGTCCTGGAAACCTTGCTTCCAAAATTCCTTAGAGACTTAGGCTGTCCCTAATCCCCTCCGAACCTGAAGGTATATAATCACTCATCACTTCACAACCTCAGTGCAGCTTTCTGCCCATGGGTCCTGTCCCCGCGCGTTAATAAAATCAACATTTTTGCACCAAAGATGTCTCCAAGAATTCTTTCTTGGCTGTCAGTTCCAACCTCCACCATCACCCCAAATCCCCATCAGTTGTTCATTTGAAGGGGATTTACTCTGGAGAGAAAGACGGTAGGGTGAAAGTCGAGATTCTGAGCCAAACTGTCTGTTTCAAATCCTGCCTCTGCTACTTACCTGTGTCACCTCAGGCAAGTTGCTTCGCCTCTCTGGGCTTCAACTTCTTCATCTGTTAAATGCGAATGCTAATAATACCTTCTGTGTGTGGTTATTATGAGAATTAAATGAGTTGTCATAAGTAAAGTGCTTAAAGCAATAGTATAACCACATAGTATAAGTTTTACCTATTATGATACTGTCACTAAACAACAGTGTGACCTTGAGTATATGACTCGGTTTCTCTGGGCTTCACTTTTGGTGGAGATAATCTCTAACCTGCTGATTCCAACACTGCTAGGAGAGAGGGGGAAAATTCCCAGCACAAGGAAATTTACTCTTTTCTAGGGAAAGAAAGAGCCAGATGTAAATCATCCACCCTGTTCAACGGACACACCTGAGGTCTCATCCCAGCAAAGCAGCCTACTCCAGTGAAAGGCTCTGTAAACCAACTTGTTATTATCTCTTGAAACTGCATGCAAAGGCGAATTCGTGATGGCAAGAGATCGACCTACTAAAGGAAGACTTTTTTTTTTCCATCATCCCTCCATTTGTGACTAGCATTCCCTTCCTGTCTTTCCCATTGTCATGTATTTTATCCCACAGACTGATCATCACAGCTGGGGGTGAACAGGAAATCTGTCCCCCTATTTGTCTGGGTTGTTTTTTTTTTTCAATGTTCTTGACTGTGAAGTACAGTATGAGTCTGCCCGGCAGTTAGTCTGGTGTTGGTCACAAGTCACCTTTCTCTGCAGAACTTGAAACCACAGGTAACACTTGAGATTATGAAAACAATTCCATTTACCTTCACACACACACACACACACACACACACACACACACACGCATGCACGCACACACGAAAAACAAGCCAGCATATGGGGCACCTGGGTGGCTCAGTCGGTTAAGTATCTGACTTCAGCTCAGCTCATGATCTCATGGTTCATGAGCCCCACGTCGGGCTCTATGCTGACAGCTAGCTCAGAGCCTGGAGCCTGTTTCGGATTCTGTGTCTCCCTCTCTCTCTGACCCTCCCCTGCTCACGCTGTCTCTCTCACTCTCTCAGAAATAAATAAAAACATTTAAAAAAAGGAAAAGAAAAACAAGCCAGCATAAAAATGGGTAAAGTTATAACCATTTACAAATGAAGAAATAAAAACGGCTAATAATCCTGTTCAGCCTCACTCATAATTACAGAAATGCACATCAGCACATTGAGATATCTTTTTCACCCATAAAAGCAGCACACTAATGGAAGTTAGGAAAGCGCCAGTGCTAGAAAGGGTGTGGGGAAAACATCATTTTCCTACTTTATCACTGAGAGTCTAGATTGGAGAAAGTGGTTTTGGAGGATGGTTTTGCAATATATACCTTACTTTTGACCAGACCCTAAACCATCAAAGCATTCAACCAAAGCAGCCACCTACATAACAGACTTCTTGTTTGAAAAAAAATAAGCCCCCTATTTGTTTAAACCTCTAGTAGTCTCAAACACATATAAAATTATAGTCAGGATTCTAATACTTGCAATGAACCACACTCCAAATTGACAACTTAAAAAAAAGAGAGAGAGAGAGATGAAAGAAGACATCCTTATCTTGCACTAACTTAAACATGAAGGTTTCTATTTCCCCATGAAGCATGATATTGGTTTGGGGGCCAAACTTCACCCTGTATTTTTATCATGCCACAGAAGTGTTTAACTGTATTCTGGTGTACTGCTGGAATTCTGTATTAATCTTTTAATTTAGATTTCTGAAACAGCATTCATAAATGAGATTAATGATGTGGGGAACAAGGTCAACAGAAAAAAGTTAAATTGAATTTCCTTACTACTTCCAGCCCATTGACAAATCCTTGAGATAAGTGGAGTGACTTTGCCCTAAGATCTCAACTGCCCCAATGTTGATACTTTGGTAAGGGCATGAGGCAATCTTAGTTTAACAATATCCGGACCTCCAGGATCCTATAAGTCTCCTTTAACATATAAATATTCCTTTGGAAACTTCCTTAATCTCTACCCCCCAAATATATGTTAGCAATTATCCTCCAAGCATAGGGCCCACTGATCTACATCTGAAGCATCTCATGACTAAGGGTTTATTAGACAATAATAAATGACCTTTTCCTAACAACAGCTAGCCCCCTCCAGGTTCTGGAAACCTACTTCCCAAATTCCTTAGGGACTTATGCTATTCCCTACCCACCCTCCCAACCTGAAGGTATATAATCAGTTTCTCTTCCTAATCCCAGTACAGCCTTTTCTGTCCACTTGTCCTGTCCTCATGCTTTAATAAAACCACCAATTTGCAGGATGCCTGGGTGGATCAGTCAGTTAAGCGTCCACTCAATTTTGGCTCAGGCCATGATCTCTCGGGTTTGTGAGTTCGAGCCACACATTGGACTCTGTGCTGACAGTGCAGAACCAAGTGCTTAGGATTCTCTCTCTCCCCCTCTCACTCTGCCTCTCCCCTGCTCATGCACTCTCTCTCCCTCTCAAAACAAAACAAAAAACCTTTAAAATACAATTAAAACAAAACCACCTATTTGCACTGAAAATATCTCAAGAATTCTTTTTTTTTTTTAGTTTTTTTAAAATTTTATTTTAGAGAGAGTGAGAGCACAAGCAGGGAAGAGGGCCAGAGGGAGAGAGAGGGAGAGAGAGAGAGAGAGAGAGAGAGAGAGAGAATTCCAAGCAGACTCTAGGCTCAGAGTGGAGTCCAACTCAGGGCTCTATCCCACAACCCTGGGATCACTATCTGAGCCAAAATCAAGAATCAGACACTCAACTGACTGAGCCACGCAGGCACCCCTCAAGAATTCTTTCTTATTTGCTCTGAACCCCAACATTTCCACGTCAATTATTATGATCCTTTTCTTTATTTTCCCCTTTTTAATGAGGTATTGTTATTGGATTTTTCACTGATATATGATTACTGTCTAATAAGAAAAGAATGTCAGTCATGAAATTTTTTTAATGTAAATGATTAAGCTTTTATTTCTATATATTGTATTTGTACTTTTTAAAGTTTATTTTTTCAATTTTTTAAACGTTTTAAATTTATTTCTGAGAAAGAGAGAGACAGCATGTGCAGGGGAGGGTCAGAGAGAGAGGGAGACACAGAATCTGAAGCAGATTCTCCAGGCTCTGAGCTAGCTGTCAGCACACAGCCCGATGTGGGGCTCGAACCCACGAACTGTGAGATCATGACCTGAGCTGAAGTTGGATGCTTAACCGACTGAGCCACCCAGGCGCCCCAAGTTTATTTATTTTTGAGAGAGATAGACACAGTGCAATTGGGAGAGGGACAGAGAGAGAGGGAGAGAGAAAGCGAATACCAAGCAGGCTCCTTGCTGTGCTGGCAGTGCAGATCCCCATGTGAGGTTCAATCCCACAAACCATGAGATCATGACCTGAGCTGAAACCAAGAGTCAGACGCTCAACTGACTGATTCACCCAGGTACCCCTGTCTCAAGTCCTTAAGGGGCTAATTCTCTTTATTATACCTATCAATCTCATCCCTCGTGTGGTTAATTTATTAGTTTGTAATTTCTTATAAGCTCATTTTCCATAGGGATTGTTCATTCCCTCAGAGATCAGGGTTTTGCATTCACTTCTGACAGGGGCCAAGGAGATTCATCACTTTGGAATCAACTTTTATGTTCTGTATTGACTTCAAGATTCCCTCACCACATGGATTGTGTAAACTGGGGCCTCACACCTATTCATGCCATAGCTGGGCCAGTGGTTTCCATTTCTAGAGCAGACAACATTTGCTCTTCCAGAGCCCCAGACAAACCATAAAGTTCCTTGCTGTGACCCTGAACAAGTGGGAATTTTTTTTCTCCATTCTCTAGTCCCTAAGATCTGCACAGTCCCAGCTTTGGGCAGGGTTCTCTAGTCCAGATCTCTGCCTTTCTAGAACCCAAGGCCTGAGTGAGTACTCACCTCTAGTTAGCTGTTTGGGTTTATCTTCACATCATAGATGGGTGCTTCTGAGTTCTCTCTCCTCCTCATGCCCAGAGCTCCCCCATTCTTCCTGTCAAGCATCGCTATCTTATTTTTCAGCAATTCTGTTTGAAGCAGACAGTCCCAGACTTTTTAGTCCCTCCTGTTCCAGAAGTTGAATCTTTGTACTTTCCTGTCTTTTAAAAACTTTGTAGAGTAAGCACAAGGTGCTATGGACACTCCCTGGCACGGATGGCGGATCTAACAGAGGATGGTGGTTCAAGGAAGACTTCCTGGAAGAGAAATTGCTTATTCTGAAGACAGAGCACACCTTAGCCAGGCCCCCCACCTCCCCCAAAAGAATGTGTGTTCATTGGGGGTGACATGTTTGAGAACAAGGTGGGGGAAGGGTGCGTGGAGAAGACAGAGTCCATGTGACTATCTAAGTGTGAGGGTGGGGACAAACCCTGTATCACATTCTGAGAAGCACAAATTCCAAGAAGTGCAAAGAGTTTGGGGTGGCACATGGAGTGAGAGGTGAGGCTGGTGAGATAAGCCGAGGCCAATTCATGAACCGCCGGTGTGCCACCTTAGAACAGTGGAGTCTGTGCTGAGAGCAGAGGGGAACCAGGTGACCAGTAGTTCTCAGAGTGTGAAATCGGCAGGTTTAAAACAAAGACAAATCTAATAAATGTTCCTTCTATAAAGAAATATACACAGGAAACTTTGCAGACTGGATGGCAATCCCAGAGGGCGTTTCAGTACCAACCTTCACATTCCAGCATACATAACCCTGAACTCTTACCCCAAGGATTATAAGGCAGTGTAGGAGTGCTCAGGCCAGTGTTCCTACCCCCACCCCCAAGAATTTCTTCTGCCTGCTTTGGAGAGAATGAGTACCCCATCCATCCGACTCGCAAACATTTTGGAATACACAACTCTTGCACAAAAGTTTCCCCAGATAACTCCGTCAAAGAGGAAGAATTTCCTCTGCCTTTTAAGGTCCTTCTCTTAGGTGACAGATTTTTTTTTAAACAGGAGAAAATCAGATTTAGGTTCCTATGTAAGGGCAATCCACGCAGACACAGAAATTCCAAAGTCAGTGAGGCAACAGGAGCTTCTGGGAGCAGAGGAGAGGGGTATGGGCCTGAGGATACAAAGGGAGAAAGACCCAGGGAGGTGAGAAAGAGAAGTTTGAAAAATAGAGCTTGCCTTATTATGTAGAGAAGCTTCTTAGGTAAAGAGGAATCTCTGTTAACAGCTCTCTTCCTGGTGTGGCAGGCAATTGAGAGGGAGGTAAAGAGCTCCCCCTCCCCAATCTGCTGGGGTTTCATTACTTTTAACTCAATGGCCCTTCTTGGTGCAGCCTGCCCTTGGTCTCTACGAGCCCATTCCCCATTCCTCCCCAACAGCCCCCAAAACTCTGCCACAATTGTTCCTGACGTAAGGAAAGAGCTCTGAGCGACAGCAGAAGCTTGAAAACAAGAGTAACCTGGGCCAAGGGCCAGGGGGTCTATTTTTAGAACTTTGTCTCACTGCCTGTTTCTCTTTCAGACTCCCCCTAATGTCTTCCAGGCGAGTGTTAAAGTTATGTGGCTGGCTCGAAGAGGAAAGGAAATAAGTAGGTGATCTAAGACTCAACAGCAGTAGCAGTAGTGATAATCATTTGGGCAGTGTGATCTCATAATTTCCCCCCAAGGTGCCCTCAATGGCGTTTGACTCCCCCAAGGCCACTTAATGCAGGATGTCTTCAAGCCGTTGCGGGCCACTTCTACTGGCTGTGACACTGGAGCAGGTCACAAAGGGACAATAATCCACTAAGCGCCACGAGCGTGCTGTTGCTTGGGGTCCCTCCCAGCCTCAGTTCCTTCAGGATCGACTCCACAAGCGTAAACAGGCTCTGGACACTAAAGCGCCCCCTACGGATAGACCCGTGTGGCCACCGTTCTCCTTTGTGCAGAGTTACTCAGGGGGAAAGGCTACGATGCATTCGCTTATCGTCAGTTTGGCGAGTTCTCTTGCAACGTTCAAGCCGCAAAAAAAGAAGAGGGCTGGCGTCGCCGCTCGGTTTAGATTTCCCTCCCGAGGACAAAAGAGGTGGCCCCCGGAGTTCCGCCGCCCGAGAAACGCGCCGCGGGAAAACGCTCAGCCCACTCCCAGTGATTTAACCCCTTCCACTCCGCCGGCCTAGACCGACTTTTAAGGGCGTCCTGCCCGACTCCCTGTCCGCCCACCCCAGTTTATTCGGGTGGACAGATCCCGGCTCGCCCGGTCACCCTCCACTCCGATTGACCTCTCTGGAGTTTCTGGGGGTCAACGGGCCAACCTCTGCGGCGGGCCCGGGGCCGGCCCCCGCAACCCTCGCGGTCCTCCTTAAGAAGCCTCCGCCGCCGAGAGGAGAGGCGGGTGTTTTGTTCTTATAAGGAGGAAAAAGTTTCTGGGACGTCCAGGAAATGAGTAACCTCGCCGCCGTTAGGGCCGTGCTGATGGAGGCCAGGAGGCGGGAGCCGGCCGGGGTGTTGCGTCCCCCGTCCCTTTAAGTGCCGGGCGGGACGCTCGGGGAGAGCCGCCGGAGAACCGCGGCCTTCCGGCCCTGGACCCGCGCGCGCAGCGGGGCTGGCGCCGTCCCTGCCGCGACGGGGAGTGGGACTAAGCAGCGTAAGTCCCGCGTGTCCACCTCGCGTGGGGGGAGAACAGCGGCTCGTGGTGAGGGGGAGGGGCCGCGAGTAGACGGCGCAGCGCCCGAGGTGGCGGGGGGTGCGGGCGGCTGCTCGGCGCCGGGCTGGGGTGCCCGGGGGGGACCCGGCTGCGGCGCCCCTGCAGAGGCGGGCGCGTGGTCTGCGGCGCCCCCACCCCCCCGGCCGCGGACCCCGTGGGCGCCAGGCTGCAGCCCAGCGCGGCGGGCAGCTCCTCCCGGCGCCCGAAGCGGCCGAGCGGTGTCGTCCCTACTGTCCCGGCGATCTGTCACTTCTGACCGTCTGAGCAGAGTGCTAGGGCAGAGAGGCAGGCCCGGCCACCCAGCTCTTCAGCCAGCCTCCTTCCCCTCCGAGAAGGGGGCAGTAGGGGTGCAGCTTGGTTTTTTTCTCTGTTTAAGATAGTGTCGCTGTGAGGTTGCTGGGGTCGGGTGAAGCCTCTGCCGGCTTCCTCTTTCGGGACTATTAGTGGAAGGGACCGTACTTTCTCTTGTGGCTGCAGTTTTCTGCTGCCTGACCCTTAACCACATCCCCACCCCCTTCCCAGCGTCTGCACCTTTCTGGCTGCCAGGTGAAGGGACTCCGAAGGCCCAAAGCCAGGCATCCCGTCCAAAATGCTCCTCTTTAAAAACCAAAATGCTGCTAGCCAAGAAGGGAAAATATTTCACTGAACTACTGAGGGACGGCACGCTGCCTTTTGCATCCTCGGCCTGGTGTGGGAACCCCCACCCCAACCCCTCTTCCAAACTAGAAGAGCCCCAGATACTGGCAGATCCTGGACCCTGGTCTTTGGGATCTAAATCAGTTTGGGAATCCCATTTTCCTGTTACTCTTTTGGATTTGACCCAAGGCCCTTCCCTTTTACAAACCAGTTCTACCTGGGAGAGGCTGCCAGGGGAAGCTGGTCCGAGCCTGGTGTAGTTACACATCCAGGTTGGCTCTGCAGCCACAGATAGACTTGCCATTCATCTCTTTATTAATAGCAAAATAGGCCGTGCTTTTGAGTCCTCCTAGCAGCCTACGTGCCTAAGTGGCTTTCATTGTTTGCTAATTCCCTGGGCCTGCTGCTGCTGCAGGCCATTCTGCCCTCATATTTTCCACTTGTGGGTAACCATAAAGTGGTTGGTTACTCGGAGTCTCTGCTCTCTCCGGGTGGATGGAGAAGCTTTTGTTCAAATGCCATCCTCTTCCTCCGTAATTTTCAAAGATGCAGCCATTTCGGGCTCTGGCTTTCAGGGGGCGAAGATCTGAACTCTTAACCCGATGCCATCATCCCCAAAGTTGTCACCTTACCAGGAATGGCACCCAGCTCCTGCAGTGCTCAAAGGGAAACAAAGAAGAGGGTATGGGGGTGAACCTTTTACCTGAGAGCAAGACCCGGGAATTCCCAGTAGAGGCTTCTGGCAAAATGGCCCACCCAAGAAAGTACTGCCTGGGAGAAAGCTGGTTTTGTATTTTTCCCTTTTTGGACCCCCTGGGATGGAAGAAGAGAAAGAAGGTGGGAAATTCCATCGGATGGAGGGGGTACACATCTCGAGTGGAGCCCATGGAAGGGTGGGGTTGGGCCGCTGGAGCCCCTGAGCTCAAGTTCTCCGTGGCCGGTTCCGCACTGCCAAAGGGAACTGGCCCAGAGGAGAGGAGATGGCATGGTGAAGGGGGTTGGCAGAGTGCATCTTATGAGGGAGAAGGGAAAGAACAGGAGATTCTACCTCCAAGAGGAGAAGCCGAGGGGGCAAGGCGGTGACTCTAGCACCGTCACTTGAGAAGACTTGCCCAGCTGGCCTCAGTGACTCACTGACCAGGAGAAGCAGGGAGACGGATCTTCTAAGAAGTAAGGGGTAACTTGCAACAATTGGAACTCCATCAGTCGGTAGTGCGCTGCCCATCCTTGTCGGTAGAGACAGGTAGCCATCAGCAGTGAGGAAGGAGAGTTGCTTCAGAATCCAAAACTGTGGTAGGATCAGCAAGAGTGAAGCAGTAGTGCAAGCTGTGGGACTTCAACAGAGAAGTGTCCTTAGTGAGGAGCGGGTGCTCCAAGAGTGCTGGGCAGCTGAGGAGTGGGACCTTATTTATGGCTAAGACCAGTCTATCCCAGACCCCCCTCTAATCCAGTCTTGCTGAGGAAGGAGACCTATTTGGGAATGCCAGCAGTTGATAATAATAACTGCCAGCGCTGTTGCTACCCTGTCCTATCTCTTGTGTGAATTAGAATAAAGATGCACCTCTCAGCAGAGGGGTGGCTCCTTGGTGACATTTAAGATGTCACCTGGGGGCCTCATCTTGATGGACATGACCAAGGTGCATAGCTGGGCAATTGGCGTGTGAGTGTATTCATCCTCACTGCACCCTGGTCACGTGTTCTTGAGCAGTACACCACCTGTGCAACCATACACAGCAGCCCTGATAACCAACAGTTATTAAGGGCTTACCATTTATTTGCCAAGCTTTTTTTCTCCAAAACCATTTTCTTTTCATTAATTCATTTAATCTTCATAGTAGTCCTATGAAGGAGGTATTGTTATCCTTATACAGATGAGGAAACTAAGACACAGAGAAGTAAAGAGTTCAGGAAACTGGAAGCCAAGTCCCAGTCATTGAACGTTCACAAAGCAAGAAGCAGGTTAAGCTTAAAAAGTAGGTTTGGTTGGGGACCCTCGTGGGAAGGAGGAAAGAGCAGTTGGTTTTTTCCTTTGGTCAAAGGAAGAAATACCCACTCAGCTCAGATGAAGGAAAGATGGAAAACTCATCTGGCAGCAGAAAGGTGAGGAAAAAGCAAGCTCAGCCTTGATGGCTAATGGGAGGCCAGGGCCAAGCATCGAATGACTTTCCTTCTTAATCACTGGGCAGCGTGAGGTGGCAAATCCAGTTTGGGACCTGATTGGGGGGGGGGGGGAGATGAGTAAGTGCCACCTGGGTGTGGTGCAGAGGGGAAAGTCCACAGCTACACAGGCCCCTGACCTAGGCAGAGAATGCCCCCAGGAGCAGACCAAGGTGGCGAGAGTCTGAAGAACATGCTGGTCCAGCCCTCCCCACCCCCCACCCCCATCTCCTCCCTCTTCCCTTCCTTGTCTAGGTCCTATTCACCTGCAAATGCCCTTCCCAAACTTGATTAGGAAATCTTTCCCAAAATCCCATTTCACAGCTTCATATATATCATCACTTATTTTCCACATGATACCTGGTAGCACTTAATTAGCTGGAATGGAGCATTTTACTACATACTGTCTCGAGGCAGTATTTTTTTTTTTTAATGTTTTATTTATTTCTAGGAGAGAGAGAGACAGCGTGAACAGGGGAGGGTCAGAGAGAGAGGGAGTCACAGACTGAAACAGGCTCCAGGCTCTGAGCTGGCAGTCAGCACAGAGCCCGACGTGGGGCTCGAACCCACAAACCGCGAGATCATGACCTAAGCGAAAGTCGGACGCTTAACCGACTAAGCCACCCAGGCGCCCCTCGAGGCAGTATTTTAAACAAACTAGCTTCTCGGTGCATGAGGATGCCTTGAAGTCTGTTGGGAGGGACCCGTGTAAAGTGTGGTGTTTACCTGGATCATGTCACCAGTCCGAAGGTCTAGCTCGTAGCCATGCCTACGCAGAAACCCCATCTCACAGTTTTCACGGTGGTTTGGACCTGGACTACTGTGTCACTTGGAGAAGCTGCTAGAAGTGGGGGTACAAATTAGAATGCTAGTTTATTAATTTGGAAGACGTGTGACCATCATGCAGACTAGATGATCTCTGGTCCCTGCATCCTGGGCAAGCCACGTGGGAAACCACAGATACAGGCAGCTGGTGCTTGGCAAAGAAGGGCAGGGAGGAGAGTGTCCAATAGCATGGGCCCCTCTTCACTTCTGGGGCCCTCATCAATGGAGAGACACCTGCCAGGTAGACCAGTACTCCAGTCAGCCTGGCTGTGTAGGTCTCCTTGGCCTCGGGGATAGTGTTTACCTGATAGCATTTCTCCATGTCCTCTTGCATAATTTAGCTACTTTTATTTTACTTGCTTGTTTAGTGCTTTATAAACATCAGCTCCCAGCTACATAGTTTCATTTGCATAAGCTAACCACTGTACATTTCAGGGTTGGAAGGCCAGGCCATGGATGTGAATGCTATATGCAAGTTAAGAGGATTTGGTCCGGTGGCCTGGGTGGGTTAACAGGAAGCCAAGCACAGAGCAAAGAAACACGGTCCTAATCAGCGCAGATGCCTGGGGAAGAGGAAGACCCCAGACTGGCCACTTAGAGCAGCCCCTGTGTGAGCATGGGCGTGAGGCAGTACTAAGGCACTGCTTGCCGTGGCTGCCTTGGGTCAGCTTGGCCTGCTTAGAGGGCCTCTTTGGATTTAAAGAGCTCTCTGTAATCTCTGTCCGGGTCCCCTCATGGCTCATCTTTAGTAAGCCACAGTCTCCAGGGCTCCGTGCCCTGAAAGGAGGCGTGACCCTCCTGAGCCTTAGGAGGGTGGACTAGGGTCGAGTCCTGGCTCCACTGCTCCATGTACGGACCTTCTCTGTATTTGGGCAAGTGCTTTGACTATTTCAAGCCTCGGTTTCATCATTGGTAAGATGGGGATAACCACTCATAGGATATGCATAGAAAATGCTCAGCACTGTGCCTGGCACAGACTTCTGATTTGGCTACTGTTAGCTCTTAAAACACTAGAGGTCATTGGAGGATCCACATTTTCTGCCGAATTGGGCCCTCTACTTCCACATTAGTGCCATTGATGTCCGGCCGAAGGACAAGGCTGTAGGGACTGAGACTGTCCCAGATGCACAGAAGGAAGGAACTCATCAGTGCCCTTGCTGTGGTTTGCTCAGAGCTGGTGTCAGAGGTGTTAGTCCTGACATTTTAGCCAACTCTGGGAGAGGGAGAGTCAGGTTTGAGGCTTGGCCTGAATAGGCATGCAGTGGGGAGAGAAGGGTTAGGTTTTCTGGGAGAGGACAAGGGTCATTTGGGAGTGCCCAGCAGGT